GACTATGTTCACAACAATTAATGTACAGCTCTTGAGTTTCCCACCTCAGGATATACTGCAAAAGAAGTCTATGAAGCTGGTGTTACATTTAAAAAAGAAAGGAAATGTCTGAGGACTGCCTTAGAAAGGGTCAGATGCAATTCAACATTTCGCGTACACAAAGACTTTCTACAAAAAGAGCATATAATGAACACCGAGAACAATTTAACTTTGTCATTTGTAGCTTCTAGGCAACACATACCCATAGTTTGCGTTATTTCCAGTAGTACCCATGCCCAACTCATGCATGTTTGCCTTTCCAACCAAAATTGCACCGCAACTTCGTAATCTCGACACAGAAACAGCATCCTTCTTTACCTCACGAACCTCATGCATCCATGTCGTTGCTCCTGTTTGCATCAAGTATATAACTAAATCTGGCAATAGGGCTTGGTCAGCAGATGAAAACTAAAATACATACCCTTCGAAGGGTGAGGATAGCAATCAATATCATCCTTGATTGCCATGAAAATCCCATCCAAGATTGACAGTGGATTCCCTGCTTAATTGCCAGTCAGAAAAGTATTATTCTGACAAAGCATAGATTGCAAGTATATAAATTATGGAGTATTATTCACTTACAGTTCGACTATGTATACAGCACTAGAAACATGTAAATATCGAAATACCTTGTTCAAATCTTTGTGTAGAAGCAGCAGCTTGCTTTCTCACTTCGTCTGGGTCAAAAGAAATTAACAGTGGTGATGGGGGCTTCTTATTATTGAACTCCTCAATGGCTGAGATGAAGCGCTCTGCAACCTGTAACACAGGGAATAACCTCTTTAATCCTAGAGACTATACGAAAGAAACAAAACCAAGCAACCACAGAAGTGCCTTGCCATAGATGGAGTAGTAAACTTAGATCTGTATGCATATGCATAATCACGAATCTTCCAATAGCGGAATGATGCAGTTGAATCACCGCTCCAATTGCTAGATGGATCATATTCTGGAAGACACTTTAAGGCTAGCTCAACTCGCTCTTCAGGCTTTCCGTCTTCTACCAGGCCGACAACAGCAAGTTCTGGCTCTAAAGTCAGGAAATACAAACTGAATTAGTGCCAAGTATACAGCACTTCTGTATCATGGCTAGGTCACCATGGACATTTGATGAAAGGTCCCACATTTTTATCTTACTATATGTGTGTGCACACGCGCATGTGTTTGTATGCACATATACATCTTCTGCATCCATGTTGATGTCATCAATTTTAACAAGTTTTATCATCACCGATATGATTATGGAAGATCTCACTATTTTGTTACTGATGCACTGCCTTACAACTGGAGTAGCCCCAACTTCCACGATTAGGAAGAAGGAAATGCAAATGTTCAACAAGATCACACAATTTTAACAAGTTTTATAATAACCAATATGATTAGGGAAGTTCTCATTATTTTGTTACTGCTGCACAGCCCCAACTTCCACGATTAGGAAGAAGGAAATGCAAATGTTCAACAAGATCACACAATTTTAACAAGTTTTATAATAACCAATATGATTAGGGAAGTTCTCATTATTTTGTTACTGCTGCACAGCCCCAACTTCCACGATTAGGAAGAAGGAAATGCAAATGTTCAACAAGATCACACAATTTTAACAAGTTTTATAATAACCAATATGATTAGGGAAGTTCTCATTATTTTGTTACTGCTGCACAGCCCCAACTTCCACGATTAGGAAGAAGGAAATGCAAATGTTCAACAAGATCACACAATTTTAACAAGTTTTATAATAACCAATATGATTAGGGAAGTTCTCATTATTTTGTTACTGCTGCACTGCCTTACAGTTACAGTTTTATAACAGCGGTGTCCTGACCAACTTGCGCATACCTACTAAGCCACCATGTAATTGCTACATCCTATTAGCACAGGAAAATTCACATAATGTCACATTTGTTTCTTGAAGAGAACATTTTACAACTAAAAAAAGGAAACAACAAAAAACACATTGACCGTTTAAATTATGTCTCGTTCCTTTTGGTCCTTTTAATGATTACTTGTAAAGCAGCTCATTTACGTGAAAACCGGAGTCTAAGTCCACCAATGTCGAGTGAGGATAAAGAACTGTTTTTCTATTTCATTTCTAAGTTCTAACAGAAATATCCAAATTCAAATAGATAGAGAGACAGAATGGACATCTTAGAGAAAGAGTGAACCTTGAGGAGGAAATTCGGGTTTAAACATAGGATTCTCCGGTATGACGGTGTATCTCAACTTCTGTCAATCATGAATACATATATTCTTCAGTCTTTAGTTAAGCATTTCATGTATACTCACAATAGTAAGTATATAAATAATGCACATAAATACAACAAATTACGAATTAAACCTCATCAAATTTGTTTTCATTCTTGAGGTGATTCATCATCAAAGATCCAATACCCGGTGCTTCAACCAGCTTCAAGAAAAACTTGAACCAGACACCAGTCAAATGTGGAGCTGCACAAAAAATTTTTAAAAAAAGTTGCACATTTAAATACTAAAAACAATAGAAAACGCAATCAAATACTAGTATTAGTATAATATCATTAAACCTTGAATATTTTCCGGTATGTACTTCACCGCCGTCAAGTCAACATCACTCGCCGGTAACATCACTTGTTTCTTCCCCATTTCTAAATCTAACAAAAATTCACCACATTCATCACTTAGAAAATAAAAAAGAGAAAATCAAAATTCAAAAAGCTTAAATCTTTACGGAAGTTTCTAGAATTGATCAATTTTCACACCTCGCAGACGTCGGAATTCACAAAGCTTAAAATAAATGCAATCAGCAAGTATGAAAGCTCGTTACCGGCCGGTGAGCAGTGGTTAATAATGAAGTGCGCAGTGAGCGCACGTTTAATTGTATTGGTTAAGAACTAGAGTACTACTTTAGATTGGTTCAAAGAAAATTGGTGAGAACAACAAACACAGAGGCGTAGGATAGTAGAAATATACTCCTATAGGATATGGATATCGTAATGGGTTGGATTGGATTGGATTATCCAATTGTGAATTTCAAAGAGTTCCGTAAGAATCTCAAAACGCGGGCGCGGATGTTTAACGATGACATGGACGATCATTTCTATGATATTGATATGCTTCTGTTTTTATTGGTTTGACTTTTACTAAGGGGCCATTTGGTTCGGGATTAGTATTTGATTTGATTAAAAATTATATTATTTTTATATCAAAATCTTGAAATAATATATTATTTCATGTAGAGTTTGACCAGTTGAGCTACTTTAGGTGAGTTACATTGAATTGAATTACATTACTCACGTCAAAATGGGTAGGAGGTTACTTTACCCCTCTAGGCTCTTGATTCAAACGGTACTTCCATTAATAGACCTACCCAAGTGCTATTGGCATTCGATTGGCACCAACTAATTTGGTTGGCAATTAAAGCGGATTAAAGTCCATATTTTTTCTTGAAAAGTATTACGCCGCTCATGTTTACTTATCCATATATATATATATATACTCCCTCCGTTCACTTTTACTTGTCCAGTAAATTAAAATAGAGTTTCACTTTTACTTGTCACTTTTAGCATATCAAGTGTAACAATTCGGCCGGTCGTTTCGTGAATTATAGTCATATTTCCCCCATTTCTGCTTCTTATGTGTTTTTCAGCTATATTTCATTGTACCGTGACTTGGTCCGTCCCATAGCAACTATTAAGTTGCGTATTTGACCGAAAACTATATGATACTTATGTGTTTTAGAAAGAGTTTCTATAAATTGGGCTGAATGCCATATTTAGGCCTCGTGCCAAATGGTCTTTTCTTATTATTCTCTCACTGTTTTGATTTAAGATCTATAACTCAGTCTTTATTACTCCGTCTTGATGCATAAAATGATATTTTGGGCTGAGCACCCTGCCCTTTTTACTAATAGCCCGAGTGGCTTGAGAGGTTTATGACTAAGTGAGGTCGAGGGCCTGAAATTGTAAGGATATTGAGAGTATATCACGTGAGTTGTCCGTGCAAATTCTGATATTGATACTATAGCTCGTGAGTTGTCCATGTGAATTATAGCGCTTGGGCTGTAGGAACCCCTCCGGAGTCTGTACACCCCCAGTGAGTGGGGTACCCTGAGTGATGTTGCCCGAGGGGTTGTTCGTGATTCATGTTTTGCCCGGGGGCTATTTATGTTTTCATCATTTTTACTCACTGTTTCATCATTTTGTTGGAAAAATTGTTGAAAGATGTTTTAGACAGTTTTATTGAAACTGGATTTTTAAACGAATAAATTTACTCACATACTGATTTGAAAGCATGTTGTACTTACTGAAATTTCATGATTTAAGCTTTATGTGTTTCCTACTGCTCAGTGTTTATTTACCTTTCTTACTTACTGAGTTGGCATACTCACATTACTCCATGCACCTTGTGTGCAAATCCAGGGATTGCTGGACGTGCTAGCGAGAGCGAGCGTTGATTTTCATCTGTCGCGGATATTTTGGAGTTGGCAAGGTAGCTGCATGGCAATCGCAGTCTTGCCCTTCTCCCTCCTATCTTCCTTTAGACATTATGATTTGTTTTCCAGACTGTATTAGTCTTTGTTGTATCAGACAGTTCCTAGTAGATACTCATAACTTGTGACGCCCTGATGTCGGACTTTTCATTCCGCACTTTGTTATTCAGAATTATCTCATGAAGTTTTATTAATTAAATAGCTTAAAGAAAATCTTTGTTTTGAAATGTCGGGTTGTTTTGATAAGTGAATCAGCTTGCCTAGTTCCACGTTATGCGCCATCACGACATGGTAAATTTGGGTCGTGACATCAAGAGAAGATAATTCTTTTTTCTTATTATACCCACAGTATTAATTACTCATTTCAAATCATTTTTACCAATCTATTAAAAATATGCATCAATTAATATAGGTATCAATTAATAGGTTTCCTATTCTTTTTCCAAAGTAGAGTGATATAGCTTGACTAGGAGTACAAACTTTGACAGCTCCCCTGTGAAACTAAGGTCAATTGGAAATATCATTTCCACATTAGAGGAAGGATACTTTTCTGCAGTCACTAGGAGATGTAACTAGGAACCTCATGAGAGAATGCCCCTAGTTTAGCATATGAGCAAGACTTTTTGGCAAGAAAAGTTATACAGTAGGATCAATACAATTACAGCAAATGAACCACTTCTAAAAGTTACGTGAGTTCTGAAATCACCAATGCATGAGAGCCATCATCAATATGTAAATTGAGAACGTAAACTTCACAACTGGTTCCCTTTCAAAATATCATAAAACTGCACCGGCTTCTTCTTTGGCCCTGCACAAGTTTCCTGAAAAGTAACATATCGACTATTACAATCCCAAACATATATCTACGTACCAAGTGGCATTGAGGTCTATATGGTGTCATCTGTTTCAAGAAAATGGTCCGTGACTCGTTTTGCTGGAAGGTAGCCATACCTCTATGGCAGCCGCCAAGCGCAAAATGGATGCTTCACACCATGGACGCCCAATGAGCTGCATACCTATAGGAAGTCCTTGCTTGTCATAGCCAACCTGAGCATACAAGATTCCAACAAAAATATGAAACAGTTGGGAGATATTATTGACACCGCATCGTCTGGTAGTTTCCACAAGGTGAATGAATTAATATAAACTAATCTCCTCAGGTATTACCAAGTACCATGGGTTCAGCATAAAACATCAGAACAATTTCAACAATTGTGTTTACAGTTTGAGTTTTGGAAAAATGCTAAATGTAAGAGCTCTTCGAATGCAACTTTTATTTCCAGTTTAAAATTAGCATTCTTCCACGACATAAAACAAATCCAAATTCTGCATTGGTTTGCTCTTCATCCATTGACTAGGTGTAGGCTAGTAACTCCTAATCTGTCCTACATCAGAAAGGTTTGCTTGGCAGGATTCCACACTAAACAAGATTACCTATGTAGAACTGCACTACGCCACCTTAAAACCAGAAACAGAGCCATTTGATATATGTCATGTTTCAACTTCTAACTAGAATTTGTGACATGAGTCCTTTCACTATAAAAGAAAAGAATTTAATTGTTAATTCATCTTTATGATGTTAACAATCTCTAAGGATATGTTTCTACCATTTAATTGATTTTAATATAGGGGTTCACACACTTTTTCATTTGTGGTATCCCTCAAACCAAGTAAACTAAGAGCAGATAATACTGTAATTTTTAAATGTAAAGGGTATCCAGACTGGGTATGAAATTTAGTATGCGTCAGACAATGTACTTTCTATCCCATCAAGTTAATTTTCCGGAATCTTTAGTTAGTCTTAATTTTCAAGTACATAGGAGAAAGATGCTATGCTTACAGGCACAGAAATTGCAGGAAAGCCCAAAAGATTTCCTGCTAATACGAACCTCATAAGATTTCCTGGAAGAGAGTGTGAGAACAAAAACCAACATAAGATTGTAAAGTAGTACTCCTATCCAAACTGATTTAAGAAGGATAATGCTTAAGAAATTAGCAGCTAACTATACTTTAAAAAATTCACACAAGTACCACAGTTAAGAATATCTTAGAAAGAGGATCATCCTTCTTAAATCAGTACATGCAACGACACGAGAAATTATTCCAGTTGTAAGATTACATCACTTTCAACCAAAAGGTTTAGAGTTCGAACCAGCAAGGGAAAAGTGGGATAAACCATTGTTGTCCAGGGGAGGGAGGGGAGGTTTGGGGGTCTGGAGTTTACCACGTCAGAAGAGAAAAAAATAGTGTGTGCCACCACCCTATAGCTTTAATAGATCAATCTATTCAGACTCAGTTAGACACCAAGCAGTTGATAGCATCTCTCCAAAAAATGCATGAACCAGTGCATCATAACGAAATATATACCTGAAACGCTCAAATTGGTCTCTCCAACTTTAAGAGCAGTTGGTGATATTATGGGTGCTGTCATGCTGAAGAATTGGGAAAACAATTGTTAGTTAAAGATGGTTTCACATATATTCATATTCCAGCAGCAACAAATAATTAACAGGCATGCTGATTTTCACATATATGTATATTGGTCGAAGATATTAACTTTTATGAGTATACAAAACATTTTAGAGGTTTGATCTAGATTTGACATCAACAAAGTAATCAATCTCCAACTATCACCTTCTTGCTGTTCCAGTGAAAACAAAATCTTATTCATGCTTCATCACTGACCAAATTCAATAATTTAATTGGAATGGTGAGGGAAGTAGCGCTATTCACAAGTATATATCCTTCCTCCAGATAACAAAAAAAGAAAAACATCGGGGAAACTAAAATAAGCGCTTGCAGATTAGGTGCATGCACATAAAAGAGATGTGTAATATTTTTACAGATGGCATTTAGATGAATACTAGCAGTGCTTTAACCAAGAAAGTGATAAAAAAACTTATGCACTATCACCCAAAGACAGGAATGTGAATACATACCCAGTAGTAGGTGTCACAATGATATCCACCTTCTTGAAAATTTCCATGTGGTAATACATTAACCTTCGCCTGAATAATTAGAGAGATTATATCCAATAACTCATAGTACTAAAAAACTTTTCATATTGCCTATATCAGAAGCGAATGCACTTCTACCCTAATTGCTAGTTGAATAAAATACCAGAATTATAGGACTGCATGCTTTCATTAGTATAAGAAACAAGAGGATAAACAAGATCAAGCACTAGCAACCAAAAATTGTAGCGCATACATGTGTAGGGCTTTTCTTTTTTTAATTCTTATCCTACCTATGTTCTTTTGAGAAGAAATAAAACCTATTTAGATGATTTAGCACATAGTATTAAGCCCAGACTGAGTGGGGAAAAAAGAAGAAGACTAATTGTCACTTTGTTACATAAAAGAGATTTCAATATTTCTTGAGCAAATTTATGAGTAGCAACCAAACTATGGATCGAAAAAAGGTACACCCAAAAGATTTAATTTCATTCTCACCAGATACAAGCAGGCAAAGGTGATGAGGATGATGTTGTGTCATTGACAAGATTTTTCTCTTTATTTACGCAACGGCTTACCAAAAGTACAGAATACCATTGTCTTAGACTTCCAAAACAAGTAACAATGATCAAACTACGCACATCTTAGTTCAAATATCCTTTTAGATGCCACTATATTTGCAAAGCAGATCAAATTCAGAATTTGATAAATTATGCCTCACCTAAGACACTGAGCAGCAACATAATCCGATGCTGTATATGTTCGAAAAAGTGCCAGATTTAACCGAGTATCATATGTTGATCTTGCTGATTTCCTGGAAATCAGGTCGAAAACAGATCATTCTACAAAAGCAAAGCTGCAAGGTGTTCATTAAGAAGAATATGAATAATATTATCATGTCATGTACTGGCCCAAACAAGCGAGCTCAAGCAAATGGAAGACCTGCTCAATAAGGTAATGAGACGTACCTATCCTCAAAGTCAGGATTCAGCTCAGATAGTGCTTCAGAGCCAACAGAAACAATATGTGCAGTGCGCATCTCAGGCAACTCTGGTATTACAACCTCTATCGTCTTCAAATTAGGGGAAGAAAGGCAAAATAATTTAATAAAAATAGAAATGGTAACAAGATAGAAAGAAAGAAAATAGTTACTCACAAAACTGATGCTCATAAGACCCCTAACTCTAAGCAAGCAAGATGGCAGATGAACAATCACAATCCCTTGACAGAACCAAAGAACTGGAGATGGGCAATACACTTACTTCGCACCCATGTTTTTCCGATAGCTGATTAAGAATATCCTCACACTTATCAGATATTTCAGTTGAGAAAACATCATTGAACCACTGCAGGAGGAAGTCAAGAAACTATTGAACTGTTACAAGAAAGTTACATTTCAGACGCTTCTCAACCAGAATAGCAATTACCTCAGTATACTTCCCCAGGCGCAGTGATCCTACAGCGTACCAGCTCTCACATGAAGTTAAATTTGGTAAACAAGGGAGAGCCTGAAACATAGTAAAGAAAGGACTTTAATGGAATAGGCACATGTACAACTCAGCTCTGAAACTCATAAGGTGAAAATTACTTTGTCAAAATGAAACATGACTCCAGAATAGTCCAAATAAGAAGTACAATGCTCCCTAGATGATCTAAACAAGAAAAGAAGTGTTACAAATCATCCTATTTCGTTGTACTTTTGAGAGCTGATGTTTAGGTCCTATTACATCAGCTAGAAGTTTCTTTCTTCAATATTGTGGTCCATGTAGACCAGGCTATTACAGGAGTTGCACAACTTCAGGATTTCTTTCTGCAGAATTCATCCAGAGGCCAGAAAAGACCGAGCCAATATCACTCGAGAAGCCTTTCTCTTAAGGTTTACATACTATCAGGGTTCCCAACACTAAGAAGTTGTATATCAACTCTTCTCGTGAGATTTCTTGTGGGTTTTTAAGATAATGGAGAAACTAAAGCCGATGGTCAATCAAATGCCTTTGGAGGAACATGCTTAGAAAACTCTATAAAATCACTTTGTGTTCTGTAACATTTTTAGGAAATAGAGGAATAAATGAAAAAAAGATGTATCATACTATATCAAGATTATGATGACGAGAATATGCAATATTCTTGGGTAATTACCGGTTTCAAAGAAACTCTCTCAGCAGGAGAGGATCCTAAAATTGCAGCATACCTGGTAGTAAGATACACAACTTAGATTTCTGGAAGTGTTGATCTTAAGCTCATTGAAGGCAAAAAGTAGAGCAACATACATAGCAAGTCATAAGAAATAAAACTAATTTCATCAAGGGTAAGTTTTTCGTGCAGCTAGCGTTCAAGAATTTGAGTTTAGTATCAGCAGTTTGGCTGCGTCATGCACAAGCACTAGGGGACAAAATATGGGAATCTCAAAACAGTTCAACGTTTATTTTTATTAGTCATTATCACTTATCAGTAATGTTTTGTAAAGCTTTGTTTTACAGTTCCATTTATATTAACTCGCACTATTCTTTCATATGAAGTTATGAACACACATAACTCCCAATTAGTTTGGGATTAAGGGGTTGTTGATTGATTGATTTATTAATGAACTCACATAATTGGAAGCAGGATTAAGACTTGTATATTTACTACTTTCAACTCTCAAAGTGTAAATAGAGCAGGAAACGCACTCTCCCCCATCCCCAAGATAAAGTGAAAAGAACCCTCTAATATTTTTGAAAAGAGTAGTTTAAGCAAAATAAAGCTGATATACGGAGAAATAGAGAGAGAAAGACGATTAAAATTTCTGCTGATTATAGCAATTTACGGGCATATAATATGAACTCAAGTAACTTTGACGAGTCATTTTCACAAGCTATGTGATTGTACATTCTTCCTCAGTAGTGATGGTCCAGGCTGTCTTGCATTACATCCATTTATAGAACTACTAGCACTGCACTTAGAAGAATTAGGTACACTCTAGGACATTCAAACCCGTGAATTACTTACACCAGTATGGCATCCTCAACAGTTGCTGTGATAGAACCAACAATTGCCACTGTTCCACCACGATATAGCAATCTGACAAAAAAAATGATGAGATTAAGAAGCGACCTATTTAGGACTTACAAAGTAATGAGAAAATAACAATTCTGCACATAGCAGATTTACAATTAAGGAGACAAAAAACAATAAATTAGCACATATGGTCACTACAATTGGGCAAAACACTATAAAATTCATCTTTCCATAAAAGGAATTTCAGCAAAACTTTTTTTTTTAATTTACCTATATAGGGAAAACATCTCTTAATCTATGTGGAGCTGACGAGCATTTTACCATGAAAATTTATGATGGCATGAACATTTTATTCACCAACTCAGTAGTATGACCTGTTCTGAGCTTCAACTAAGACAAATACGAACCTCTAGTCACCTAACTTCTATTATAACCCTGAATTCAATTTTTTCAATCAAGAGAATATGTCAAGCACCATGCTTAAATATGTCAAGCTTACTAGTAAAAAAGAAAAATTGATAATGACTTCCTCTTATCCATTCTCTGCAATTTTGGTTTATGTCCGTTAACAAAGTAAACTATTTCTAAATATACTCATTCCGGTTTAATAGGTTGGAACAGAAGCTTATCCATGAAAGCACAATTTGTTTTTTACTATATACCTTGGTAAGCATTGTTTATACTTATGGTGACTCAGAACAGCTTAGACTGGAATGCACAACTTGCAGAACCCCAAAAGGGGAGACCAACACTAACGATTCAAACTCTGTCCTTTGTCACACAGAACAATGAACCTCGACCTAGAAATACATAGTTACTTGTGTGTTCATCTATGAACCAAGAAACTGAAAGAAGAGACGTGCATAAGCATAAAAGTACACGAAGATATTAGATGATGGAAGGTATATTTCAGGGTTCACTTCATGGTGTTACAGTATGATTCTTAGATTGGATGTGCACGATATACGAGCATAGAAACAGGGAAGATAAGATAGAAAGGAAATTAATAGCCACCCAACCCTAACCCCCCTTTCATGGCTTCACTGTAAGATGATCTTCAGGGGATGACCTGCTAATAGTCAGAATGCAGCTGTATAAATTTAGAACTCCGACATAATAGGAGCTCACCCTTTCATGTCAGTCCTTCCATATGTTGTCTTCAATCCCACCACACCACAAAGGGAAGAAGGAATCCGAATTGAACCTGTCCTTTTACATGAAAAATGAACTTTAGCTAACATAACATACAAAGATTTCATAAGATGATTCCTGAGCTACATGGTATCATAGACAACCTCCTCCATCTGTTCCCAGTGCAGCAGAACACAATCCAGAAGCTACAATAGCTGCAGAACCTGAGGAAGACCCGCCCGTGTACCTATCTGGAGCATGTGGATTTCTTGTTGTCCTGTCATATAAACAAATCCACTCATCCATACTGTTGTTTACAACAAAAGAAAAAACATTCCTAAACAGAGTGGAAAGTAAATAGTGTAATATTAGCAGAGATCACCTGCATAACAATAATTAAGTCAACACAATTCAAAAGGAAACAGTTCTATGGAATCTTTAGGGTTGCTCTTCATGGAAAATTTTCCCCAGATTTGCTACTTAATTTAATATTGACAAATGTGTGACTTAAGTTAATTAAATTTTTAGCGAGCTTTAGTATCACGGTTTACTTGGTATGAACTGCGAGCATTTCTTGTCTATTGTTTACGGCTTGTAAGTTAAACTCACCCAAAGTTTGCATTATTTCCAGTTGTTCCAAGGCCCAATTCATGCATATTTGTCTTCCCAACCAAAACTGCACCACAACTTCGTAATCTTGAGACGCAGACAGCATCCTTCTTCACTTCATGAACCTCGTGAAACCAAGTTGTTCCACCTGTTTATCATTAAGTATGCAACTAGATCTGGCAAAGAACTATGCTTTGGTGACTAGAGCTAGAGTACATACCTTTTGATGGATGGGGACAGCAATCTATGTCATCCTTAACAGCCATAAAGATACCATCCAGGATTGATAATTCACTTCCTGCACAAACACAACAGCTAAGAAATGGAGTTGAATAAAGTCAAATGTAGATAGCTCGCATGACATGTTTTTGAAATACAATGACATGAATACCTTCTTTAAATCTTTGTGTGGAAGCAGCAGCTTGGCTTCTGACTTCACCAGGATCATAAGAAATCAGTAGCGGTGCCAGTGGATTCTTATTGTTAAACTCTTCTATAGCTGAGATGAAGTGCTCTGCTACCTATGACACAAATGTAAATATAATCTTATCCTAATAATACATCTATACTGAAAACAGGGAAAACAGTGACTTACCTGAGATGGAGTTGTAAGCTTCGACCTGTAAGCATATGCATAATCACGGATCTTCCAATAGCGGAATGGTGCACTTGAATCAGCAATCTGAATACAGCCTGGATTGTAATCTGGAAGACACTGCAAGGCTAACTCAACGCGTTCTTCAGGTTTTCCATCTTCTTCCAGGCAAACAACAGCAGGTTCTGACTCTAATTCACAAGCCATACAAAATGGATAGGTGACTCCAAGTGGCATTGGTTTTATCAAAAACAAAAATTCTAGTGTAGGACCCAATTATATGCTTTTGTCCTGTTATCTTCTTCGTTACTCCAGAGAGAAACGCCTACCACCAAATATTATCAACCCGCCTCTCCTCCACCCCTCTTCCAAATAGACGTCTCTTACAAGGAAGAAAAACAAAAGGTCCCAGAACAAAAGATAAGCCTATTTAAATAAGCATGTTGACCAAATCAAGCAGATCATTATGATGGTCCACTCGTAAGCCAAGGATAGATGAGGGTGCAAAAATTCACACTTTTGAGAAGATGAACAGGAGTGTAGACAATGTAGAGAGAAAAAGTTTCAAAATTACTGAAAAAAGAATGATAAAGGGAACTAACCTTGAGGAGGAAACTCAGGTTTAAACATGGGATCCTCTGGTATGACAGTATTCTTCAGCATCTGTCAATCATGAAAACTTGACCTTTTTAGCTATCTAGAATATGACATCACTTGACATGAATTTTCACAACAGAAAAAAGAAAATAAAACTGGATACATTAAGAATCATACCTCCGTTTTTCGGTTCTTGTTCTTCAAGAGAATCATGATAATTGAACCAATAATCGGTGCTTCAGCCAACAATACAAATAGCTTCAACCAAAATCCAGTCAGATGTGGACCTGCAAGTCCATAGCGTGCAAATTCACAGGATGATTTTTCATCACCAGTAAGTGAAAAACTTGCAATAACAATACCGAGATTTGTGATAACAAGTACCCGTCCCCCTCTGTCCCAGAATGAACTTTAACAAACAATTTAAAATTTATTCTTCAGCCATTTTGATATGAGGAGAATTTCAACTTATGGTTTGTGTGTGTGTGTGTATTTCGGAATATCTAACTGTTGATTTTCTGTTTAAAAAAGTAAATTAATCAAGTAGGATTTACGGAAGGAGAACCTTGAATTCTTTGAGGCGTATACTTGACAGCCGTCATATCAACTTCACTCGCCGGCAACAACACTCTCTTCTCCCCCATTCTAACAAAAGGCAGTTGATTCAAACCTATTAAAATAACTAAACAATCACTTAATTTAAACTTTAAATTGCATAAATTGAACAAATTCGCAATCTAAGAATCTTTCAAGTTCTGATATGCAACTCAAAAATTAACTTACTTTACAGAATTTGGAAGTCTGAAAGTGAAGGTTTTCGCGAAGCGGTGAAGCTGTTAACAGACTGACACTGAATAAGCGATTTATTTGAAAGGGCCTTTTATACAGCGGTTGAAGGCTATCATGCGCCAGCAATGACGATAAAACTAGGCATTTTTATTTTCTTTCTGAAGCTAGTTTGTTGGGGAATGTGGAGTTGTGGAGAATTGAATTCCTTCTTGAGTTCGTGAGAACATGGCGCACCCCTGGCGTAGGATAGTATGTAATCATGACGTCGGCGATAACTAATTGCGTCATGTTCCTGCGTATTGCACTGTCTTTTCCCCGTTAAAGAATCCAGTCTACCGCTCGATTCCATGCGGCAGTTGGTAAGCAAGGGGGAACGATCTTTTAATGGAGCACGTGGCTTATATGACATTGGGGTTGGGCTGGGCCAGAAGAAATCAAGAAGCCCAGCAAGGATGATAAACATATAGGGTGTTCCTCGGTCGGTACGGTACGGTATTTAGATATTTCGGTTCGATATTTTTGGTATTCGATTTCGTAAAATGCTATACCAATACCGTACCTAATTAAATTCGGTATGATTCGAATTTTCTCCTTTCGGTTCGGTAACTTCAATTTATTCTATTTGAATACTAACTAGTGCTTAGAGTCATAGACGATAATATTCTTAATTAAAGTACTCAAAAGTACAAAATTAAAATGTTTATTGACAAAAGTTTTTGTCCAAAACTAGCAAATACCAACCTAGAGAGAGAAAATTTAGATAAATGTTTTGTTACTTACTTAGAGTTAATTGATGAACTTAGAAAATAAAGGAGAGTAAAATTTTAGATTTCTTATATTTATGTTATAATTAATAAAATATGTATTGTGTAAATATAATATATATTTCAGTACGATATCAATATTTCGGTAAAATACCGAATACCATACCTAATACCAATTTTTTTAAAACTTAAACTAAATACTATATCGAATACCAAAATTTTCGATTTCGGTATGGTAATTCGATATTTACCAAAGTATGCACAACCCTATTTACATATGTATGTCTTACCACTTATGTTTGACCATGTTGTATTATATGGGGAATCTTACGGAAATGTCCCAAATAAGTTCTTACTTATCAACTTTTAACTATTAGTCACAGATTTATCAAAATTAACCAAGCACATACAAAAATTAAAAATTTAAATAAATAAAAATTATTTCTCTCCAAGAATCACACGCAAATATCTCCTTCCATAATTTTAAGCATGATCAGCAATATTAGATGCAACACGAAAAGGAAATTTCATGGATAAGGTAACAAACAAGGTGATGGAATACAAAAAAAATAAAAAATAATATATATATATATATATAAACATTCCTCTTTGATTTTTTATCCGATAAAAATAAGATTTTGACTTTGTCTATATATACAGTTTTTACACCATCAGGTTGATTTGACATACAATAACAAGTGACTATTCANTAGATTAGTCAATTACAAATTTTGAGGAAGATTAGAGGTGATTTAATATCAAAATTCGTGGTTAAAATCGAGTTCAAAAAATTCTTCTGCAACACATGTAGCGAGCATGTATCACATGTGATACACATATGATATATATGTGATACACATATTATCTTTTTCTATGTTCATCTTCTACTTTGAATTTCCAATTCAAACCACCTAAAAACTCTACCAAATCATCCCAAAACTGAGATTTAAACTCCTTTGATGTATCCATATATTCCAACAATACCCACTCAAAAGAAAATAAAAATTTGAACTTTTTTTTGCTACAAACAACTAGTTGGCTAATATTGATAATATTATATGAATTGATTAATTTTTATACTAACTTACTTATGAGTAGAGCCGTCAAAATGGGCTTGGCTCGTGAGGCTAGCCCAACCCAGCCTGGGTTGGGATTTTTTAGCCCATTTAAAAGTGAGGCTTATAAGCCCGACCCAAATCAGCATGTTAGCCCTTGAGGCTTGATCTAGGCTGGGCCTGGGCTGGCCTATAGGCCCAAAATTGATTAAATTCAAATTTAAATATTTAAAAAAATTAAAACTAAAACAAATATTAACTATAATATCTATTTTTCAAACTTAGATTGCTCATTTATCCTTCCATATCAACTAAAATTTATATTTTTGATATGCATGTAGTATGACAAGATTAGTTTTTCTTTTGCTTAATTAACAACGAACTAAGAAAGTTTTAAGTGGCTAATAATATTTTTTTCAAAAGAAAATATTACTTTAAGTGGCCAATGATCAGTTTGGTTAATTTAATATATTATTAATTATTAAATTACTCTTCAGTATAGTAAAAGGTCAAGTTTTAATACCCAAAGAAAATTGACAACACTAGCAAATTTCATGAAATTTAAAAAATTTATGGACTATAATGATGAAATCAATAAATAATGTTTAACCTAAAGTATAAAACCATAACATATAAACTTATTGAAGTAATTCGTGAACCTAAGAAAAGCGAAAGAAAAATACTAAAAAAATATTCATGTAACGTTAGAAAAAGAAGAGATAGCGATAAAGAGAATTTGCATTTCAATTACGAGATTCCTTGTCAAATATCAAGTACTCTAAATAAACAGAAGTCGTTCATATGATTAAGAGATTATGTCACGAAAAAATATTTAAAAATTTGAAGAAATATTTTTTCCTAAAAATTGAAGGGCTGGCCTGCCCTAGCCCGCGACCCACTTAGGGTTGGGCTGGGCTGACCATTTTAAGGCCCATATAGATTGAGGGCCAACCCGCACTAGCCCACCAAATTTAAAAGCCCGCGAAGCTTGGGTTGGGCTAGCCCGTTTTGACAGCTCTACTTATGGGATGACATAACTAATAATTTCCCCTATTAGTTATCACAAAATAATTATCCAAAGTACCAAAAAATTAAGTATTTCAAATTATAAATGCTAGGCCCATGCTTGCACGAGCCATAACCGATCTAGTATGTTATAGAAAGAGATTTTTTCATTCCTATACACTATTGGAAACTTTATTACCCTAAATGTTCATGTTTAGTAAATTATCCTACCTACACAAGTTTTGTTTACAAAATATATACATTCCACCTTAAAAGGCACCTAATCCATTATTAGTGCCTTCAATTAAAAAATTTAGTTACACCCTTTTTCTTTTTTTTTCTCCTCTCTCCTCTCTTCTCTCCAGATTTTGTCTTTCTCCTTCATTTTCTCGAATTCCTACAATTCAAATTAAAAGTCAGATACTTCCATACAATACCAAACATATGCAAATAAACTCTTTTTAGCAGCAATCCACTAAGAAATCGACAAGATACCCATCAACAAGTATTTTAAACTCTATCTTGGCACACTAACTCTTTTTTAAACAGTTAATGATGATAGGCGTCACTTTCAGGTTAGAGTGGTTATTCACAATAAAACAATGATGCAGTAGCATAAAATATTAAATCCTTAATTAGTTAGTCCAAAATTTAATTTATATTAAGTTCCTACGATAAACTAAGCTTCTTAACTTGGTTTGAGATTGGTACAATCAAAATGCTAACTAATAAAATAAAACTTTAATATATATTTCTTACTTTAGATCTGGAGTAGATATAGAGGACAAAGAGCCAATTTTGTTCACATTTTGATTAAAATTTTGTGGGTATGGGCAACTGGTTCACCTGTTGCATTCAAAGGCGTGAGAAAGTCGCAGGAATCCCTAAAGCTGGAATTTTAACGTTTGCCAACTCTATAGGAACTAGTGGTATTATTCTTCATTCCTGATAACATGCGACGAAGATACCTTTGCCAAAGCCTCTCTCACCTCCCAGTTATATACAACTACAATATAATACCACTTAAATATAATTTTTTATATAAATTTTATACAATATGTCTTTTGTATATTTTATATCTAATTTATACATAGTAAAAATAAATTTCATACAACTAATTACATATTATACAATATATCTACAACTTTCACACATTATTTCTACTCAGTTAAATACAACTTAAATACAAATTTTATACAATATGTCTTTTGTATATTTTGTATCTGATTTATACATAGTAAAAATAAATGTTATACAACTAATTATATATTATACAACTTATCTACAATTTTCATACATTATTTCTACTAAGTTATATACAACTATAATATCATACAACTTAAATATAATTTTTATACAATATTGTTCAACTTTCATACAATAGTTAAATAGATAAAAGAAAAATATATAAACAACAGAATATTATTTTTCTACAGTTTTACTACAATTTCTGCAGTATAATGTATGTCATGTCTTCTTCTTCTTCTTCTTCTTCTTCTTCTTCTTCTTCATCATCGAGTTTTAATCTGAAATTCAGCCAAAACCAAGTCTAATCTTCACCAAATCTCCTCAAAATTGAGATATAAACTACAAACCATATTCCCAATTATTTGCAACAACACCAAATCCAAACAAATAATGATTTTTGAAAATCCAAATTCGAATTCAAAGTTTCAAAGCTTTTTAATGGTTGTCAATGGTGGAATTGCTGCTCTCTTTTCCTTTGCTTTACATTACTGAAATTTGGGATTGAGACATAGAGAGAGACGTAGAGAGAATTCTCAATTCTTTGCAACAACATCTAATCCAAACAAACAATGTTTTTTGAAAACTCAAATTCGAATTCAAAGCTTCAAATTTTTTTAATGGTTGTCAATGGTGGAATTGCTGCTCTCTTGTGCAAGATACGTGGTAGGGGTGGGATATGGAAAGAGAAATGTGGGGAAGTGGAAGATATGTTAGAATAATTTTAGGACACTAAATATTATCATTAATTCACTTAAAATGTACATAAATGGTAATTGAGTATATAAAATATAATTATAATAAAACTTGAGTAGGGAGGGTAATATAATTTCATATAGCGCATAGGAATGTAAAAATTCTTTATAGAAGTGGCATCGCTTTTAGTTTTAACACTCCTATTTAAAATATATCCATCTATAAAAGTTATTTAAAGTTTGTCCGTTTTGGCAAAGTATACATTGCTTCTTCCTCCTTCTCCTGCTACTTCAAAAATGTTTTTTTTATAAAAAATAATTATTTAAGATTAATGAAAATATTATTGAAGAGGAGCATTGGCCTGACTGGTAAAGTTACTGGCATGTGATCAGGAGGTCACGTATTCGAGACGTGAAAACAGCCTCTTCAAAAATGCAGGGTAAGACTACGTAAAATAAACCCTTGTGGTCTAGCCCTTTTCTGGATCTCGCGCATAGCGGGAGCTTAGTGCACCAGACTGCCCTTTTGATGATAATGTTATCAAATTAGGAGCCCGTTTGGATTGACTTGCTTTAAGTGCTTTTAAGCCTAAAT